GTCCATGCAACACCCCGGGAGCGTAGCTGCCACTCACCACATCTACAGAAAACCCATCACCAGTGAAGATCCAAACAAATACTCAATGTTTTTTAGAAAAGGAAAGATAACAACGTCCTAAGGGACAGGAACGACAAACTGGGAATGCCCTGTTTAAGCTTCCCTGGTGGCTCAGGCGGTAACGCGTCTGTCTGCAATGCAGGAGATCCAGGGTCGATCCCTGGGTGGGGAAGATCTCCTGGAGAAGGCAATGGCACCCCACTCCAGTACTCTTGCCTGGAGAATCCCATGGATGGAGGAGCCTGGTAGGCTATAGTCCATGGGGTCGCAAAGAGTCGGACACAACTGAGCGACTTCCCTTTCACTGTTTGAGCTTCCTGCACTACACATGAAGCAGTATAGTATTATTTGGAGGTGGACTTAAAGTTGTAAATGTAGATTGCAACCACAAAGAATGTTTTTAAACTATGAGAGACTAACAGAGGAGATAAAGGAATCACATAAGATGCTCAACTAAAACCAGAAAAGGCAAAAAAAAAAAAGGGGGAAAAAATAAAAACAAAGAACAAGTCAGTGAATACAGAACAGTTTATGAACAAGATACTTATTAATTCAACCCACTTAATCATCCCTTGAAGTGTGAAAGGTAATGGTCTACATATACCAATTAAAAGACACTGTTCAGAGTGGGTTAAAAAAAAAAAAAGACCTAACTGTATGTGGTCTATAAGAAATCCACTTTAAAGGAATGGGCAAAAAAGTTAACACTCACAAAAGAAGGTAAGTGAATGGCTAACAAGCTCATGAGAGGGGACATACTACTACCAGTCATCAGGTCAATGGAAATTAAAACTATAATAAGATACTACTAGCCATTCTAGTTATACTTACTAGCATGGCTAACAGCAAAGTGGCAGCAAGGATGTGAGGCAACCTGAACTCTTAATACAAAGCTGGTCAGAGTGTAAAGTGGTGCAACATTCTGCAAAAGAACCAAGTTAAATACACACACACCCAATTTTACTCTGAAGCATGGTGTACAATGAAACATCTACACAAAGACATACACAAATGTCTATAGTAGCTTTATCCTTAATAGCTCCAAATTGAAAAGAATCTAAATGTCTATCAACATGAGGATGGATTTTTAAATATCGTGACATATTCACACAATGGAATACTCTCATTAAGAAAGAAGAAAAACGTACTGATACATAGAACATAGATATCAATAAATCTAAAAATCTATTTTGCTGAGTAAAAGCCAGACATCAAAGAGCTTATGCTGTATATCGTTGTTTTAGCACTAAGTCATGTCCAACTCTTCTGCGACCCCTTGGACTATAGCCCCCCAGGCTCCTTTGTTAATGAGACTTTCTAGGCAAAAACACTGGAGTGGGTTGCCATTTCCTTCTCCAAGGGATCTTCCCGACCCAGGGATCGAACCTGAGTCTCCTGCACTGGCTGGCAGACTGTCTACCACTGGGCCATCAGGGAAGCTTGTGCTGTATACACACAGCATGAACATTTTACTCCGTTTATATGAAGTTCAAAACATGCAAAATTAATCTGTGGTGATAGAAATCAAGAGTTGCCTCGACTGGGTCTAGAAAAGGGCAACAGGAAACAGGGGGATAAGTTTGTCAAATTTACTGCACTGTACCCTTAAGATCCATGCATTTTACTCTATGTAAATTACAGCTCAGTTTAAAAGAAAAAAAAAATTCCTGGCAAAGGCCTTTAGTATTTTCTGTAGTTCAAGTACAGCAAGTAGCAGATGAATTTTTTTTTGCAAAGGGTCAGAAAGTAAATCTTTTAGAATTTGCTGTCATATGGTGGCGGCTATAACCCTTCTGTCATTGTATCAAAGTATCCAGACAATATGCAAACTAATGAACATGGCTATGTTCCACTAAAACTATTTACAAAAACAGGTGGCAAGCTGGATTTGGTCCACAGGCTGTATGTAGTCTGCTAACTCCTGGTGGAGCAAACAGAAAATCAATCTTCAAAATTAATTTAGCTTAATTTCTAATTCAGAGTCAAATTTAAAAAAATTAAATACAATGCATTGTTCTTTCCTATATGGTGACAGGCAATGACAATTATTAGAAGCCTATTATAATCCTTCCTAAACTTGTTTTTCTACACTCATAGAATCATTTTAAAATAGAAAGACCAACCAGAAAATCTCTAATATGGTTGATATGCAAGATCATCATTTTAGAAGATCATTTAACAGTTATAATATTATCCCCAAAAATTATCTAGGAATGTGAGAAATATTTAAGATAAACTGGCTAGTAAATAATTAAAGTATGAACTGGAAATTTAAAATATACTTAGGTACACACATAAAAAGCTATGTTACCCACAGTGGTGATGCTTTGATTTATCTGGTATAATAAAGGTTTTGAAACACGTTCAGTATCACTCATAATCACCTGGTTTGTTCTTTATCTAAAAAAATTGAAAATTAAGAACAGCAATCCCTTCTTGATGTTTTTAAAAGCATTTCAGAATACTAAATAACGAATGGAAATAAAACAAGCATTTTCTGAGAAGTACCAAAAGCTAATTTCCTTGCCTAATTTAAACAAGGCTCAAAAATTTATATCTTGCAAGAACATCCAGGGTACACTACTAGGTATAAATAAGTCTCAAACAAGACACATGTAAGCTGCCTGAAAATGTTTATCCATCTTCATGAAAATCCCAATCTAAAAAATGAACTTAATCCTCTCTCACCATGGTATATACCTATTAGAAGAAACACCAGCAAAACTAGAAGGGTTGGGTTCCAGTATAAGTTAGCCACCTAATTGGCAGTGTGAGAATCTGGTATCCACTCATTCATAAGGCATTTCTGAGAGCTTAGTATGTGCCAGACACTGGAAACACAGTAGTGAAGGAAATATCAAAAATTCCTGCCCTCATAACACACTCCAGTGAGTCACTTAATCTCTAAAAACAATTTAGTTTTCTTCCTCTAAGATAATGGATTTTATATTTAAGGGTATTTTCAAGTCCCTAAAATAAGATCCATATTACTTTCCTGCATCCAGGAAAGCAACTGATGGAGCACCACCTGAATTCCACTCTTTCACTGGCTAAAACGCTTTCCTGTGTCATCATGTTCAAAGAGGAAAAAAAAAAGTAACAGACATTCTTGAAGGACTTATTTTAAATTTGCTAATTTTGTTTTATAAAATTTAGAGGAAATATGAGCCTTATTGGCCTATTACTTGGTAACTAAACTTGCTTGGATGGAATCCAAGAAAGAAGCAGAACAACCTTATGAGAATGTTCTTCATATAATGAATAATTTTTCAGACATTTCCAGTACTGCCTAGTGAATCAACTAATCAGCTCATCTTTTCTTCAGACTAGAATTTGATCTTTCTTTCCAAAGTGCTTACTGGAACACAGGTAGTTAAGAAATCCAAATTGTGTATTCAAATCTAGTCCCTTGCGCCCTACATTAAAATTTTTCTTTTATTTATCATCAAGATATATATTTTCCCCACAACAAAACAGGCATGACAGTCCTTCAAGCATAACTCCTCAGTTCCCAAGTGGTAAATTTTTTAAATGTCTCATGTATTCATTTTTCCCATACGAACTCTAGAGTCACAAATTACATTTCTGGTAAGACCAAAGCAATGCTCACTTTAAATATCCCTTCCTTCATAGGCCCCTACCGAAACACCAAAAGGGATCCAAAAAATAAGCCTGCAGTTTCTAATCTATGAGTATTCATTTCCAAATGAGAAACTGGCCTAAGTATCTAGCCCCCCCCCAAAAAAAGGTATATCCCACCAAAAGCCACTTCTCCATTTATTTTCAACTCATAAAATATATTCAAAGTTTGCTAAAGCAAGCTAACACCATTCAACTTCAAAAGACAGTATAAGCAGTAGTTCCCAATTACGCTAATCTTGAGCAACCTACCGTTAATCTAAAACGCTGTTCACTATATGTATGCTTATATCTTAAGATGTTTTAAGAATATGAGCACCACCATCAGGTTTAATAAGCCCAAATGCAGAAGTATTGAAATTGTTAGCAAGAGATGATGGACAGAAAGCAGAACAGCTTTACATAAAATACATGCAATGTTCACATGAACTATTTCTATTTTTTACAGTAATCTGAACTGTAAGTGGCCTTTAGAACTAGATTCTCAATTCAGGTATATCAAATACCAAATTGCTAAAAGAAATCTTAAACTTCCATCTATATTTTAAAAGTCTCATATTAACGAACTTGATTTATATTTCGGAATCCAATAAATGAAACGACTTTGATAAAACTGAAATGACTTATAACTTAGAATTATTATTGTAAAAAATTAATTATCCAGCTCTTCTGCTGTTTATCTTGTAGATAGTACCCTCCTCATTACTGGCAGTGAGGTAAAAACAAAGAAAAAAAAAAAGTCTGGTTTTGGAACCACAAAGACATGGGTTTGAATTCTGAGGCACCATGCCTTAAACATTAACTTTCTGAACCTATTTTTTCATCTCTAAAATGGGAATACTAATACCTAATTTGAATGAATGTTTTAATGATTAGTGAGATATATGTAAAGCAGCTTGCATATAACAGGAACTGAAGAAACTAGCTGCTATTTTTATTTTATTACTCATAAATGTATCCAAGAGAAGATAAAAGGAAGGACATGACAGGAAAATAAATTAGAGCCAAGGTCACATGTAACTGTTAAAACAAGACAAAAACAAATACACTGACAGTTGAAGTGAAACTTATTGTTCACATTTTATAGAAACAAGATAATATTGTAACCACTCTTTATACAAACATAAAACCCAAAACTAGCTACAGGTCTACTAATGGTGGAGCTAAATAAAAACAAAATATTATAACCATACAGTAAAACAGGTAATTTTATGAACAGGTGAGATGATTTCACCATTGGAAAAAAAATGCTAAAACTAAGATTTTTAAATGCTTATGGAAGGATATTAAAAGATTCCTACCTTTAAACCGACTGCTATAAGATCTGTAACAACACTGTATGGAAAAAGTAAAAAGAGAAAATGGAAAACAAAGTTAGAAACAAGTTTTTAAAAGACAGAGATAATAAGATAAAGAAAAAAGAAAAAGCATTATAATAAATAATAAAAATAAGAATGCGACAAGTTGTGAAATGTTAATACAAAGAAAAGTGGATGGGACAGTCTAGCCAACAGAGTGCAAAAGCAAAGCTTTAACAGCAATGTAAGAAACAAATAATAAATCAAATTCTCTTTCAGTATTTAGAAAAATAATTGTTTCAATAAGATGAAAGTGGGTTTATCCATTTACCTCTATTTAACAAATCCAACCAAGCCTTATAATCACCAAAGTTCATTCTTTTAAATCACTGGCATGAGTAACCATACTTAAAAGTTTTAAATGAAACAAAACCAGTGAGTGGACTTTATAGAAATATAAAATATCTTGAAAATTTGCATCCACCACTCAAATGGCTCAGCAAAATATAGCTAGGAAAGTCTTAGAACTAAAAGAATTACAAACATCAAACTTAAGACATCAAAATTGTCAAAGATTTGCTTTTAAAAAAGTTCTACTGCATCATAATCTGTGATTAAATTACCTCAGAAAGAAATGAACATACACACACATACACACAAGGACAGTTGGCAACTGAGGTGGAACTAGAAAGATATGTTGACTGGAGGTTTTTTTTTTTTTTAAAACTATCCAAAATAATGAAAAAGGACCTTTTTTCAGGCTATGGAGAAATGTAGAAATTTAATTACCCTCCTGAAAGCATAAACTCACTGAGTTTCCCTTAACATCAAGATGTTAAAAAAAACCCTATATAGTTCTGCCAAACAAAAATCCATCTCTTCTAACCCCAAAGAAACTATTTTCTATTAAGTTTGTCTCGATATCTTCTAAAAGAAAGTGCTAATAAAATTCTATATATTGTTAATAACCTATATCATTACTTAATAGAAGTAAAACAAATTTATATTTGTCTAATGACACAAATTTGTTTTAAACAGTAACGATATAGGCTAAAATTTTTTTTCTTATATGCTTTGGAAACTCATTTGGTTTGTTTTAAATTTAGATGTGATATCTCAGACATCTGTGCATAAAAAATTAGATTGTGTAAGGTACACCACAGTATTGGTCCTGAGGCAAAGAGCATGCTCCTACTTGAACTCCCAAATGAACTTACCTTCCAATATTTCTTATTGCCTCATATACTTAAACCAATAAACTCATTCTTAGCTTTCAAACCACATTTAGGGGAAAGAAAAAGTTAATTTCTTAAACACTACCCAAAAGAGTAAGTTTGCACTTCACAGTTGCCCAAGAGTTTAACAGCCAAGATGCATAATCCAAGAGTCCTCTTTATAACACTGTAAAGTTTCCAATACAAAAAGCTAGCCTGCTTCCACGTCTCACGTCAAACCACTAAAGACAATTCACTACACATAATGAAATACTACTTTCACAGCCTTCCTCAACTGAAATACTGGCATACTCACACAAATAATAAAGATAGCAAAATTTTGCACCCATAGGAAGTGTAGTTGAAAAAAGGTGATGTAAAATGAGTTTTTAACAATGCTCTGAGAAGCTTCAATTAAACAAAACAGCTTCAATTAAATCTTAAAAATACTTTAGAGACCATCACAATAAGTGAAATCTAAAATTGCACTTTGTCTAATGTCTGTAATAGTGTGCAATCTGCATTCAAATATATTTATAGATTTATAAAACTAGGATAAATGAAATCTAATGAAGGCAAAAATTGTTCGAAGATCCCTTTACACAGGAAGATCTTTACACAGCATGACAACAATCAACTATATGGCAACATATATGTGATTTTACTGTACAAGGAAGTTCCATATATTTACAACCAAGAGGTTTACAGAAATTTTGCCATCAAAATCAAGTAACAGGCCAACCAAAATCTCAAGTGCATAATGAAAATAAGTAAGTGGATCTGCAGACTCTATGAGAGCAGGTTTTTTTTACCTTGACGGACATATACTAGAACCTTCAACTAATTCACTAAGATCTTAATCTAGTTGTTTTCTTAATCATTCAAATATTGGTTTGGTCCCACCCCAGGACCCTGGGTCCCCAGAGAAATATTTACATCGATGACCCTAAATCTTTATTTTGGCCACAGACTTCATTCACTTTTAGAGCGTTTCAAAACGCCTCGAAAAATCGCACTTTTTTTTTTGCATACAGGAGCAGGGAATTTACGAAGTTCCGTGGGGGCGGAGGTGGGGTTGGTAAGCGGACGCATCCCTGGTCACCGAGTCAAGACGCCCGGTGTACCGTAATCGTAACAGAGCTCCCAGCAGAAGCCCGGAGACCGCGTGGGGCCCCGGCTCCGGTCGCCGCCCAGACGTTTACCGGCGCGTGCCCTCGGCGTCCGCCACTCCGCGGCCACTCGTCTCCCCGCCAGGGGAAGCTCCAGCGCTCGCCCCACCTCACCGGTAAACACCAACTCCCCAAGCGGGAGGACGCCCGCCCCGAGCGCCGCCTCCGCCTCCCCCAGCGCCGCGCACCATTTTCTGAGAGGAAGTGTCGGGAGGCCGGGCCGGGCTCGGCTCCACCGACTCTCGGGCGGAGGGCGGACCTCGGCACCCGGGGGCTGCACGGGGCTTTCCGCCGCTTCCCGGGGCGAGGGTGTGCAGCGGCGGCAGGACTGGGGGAGGCGCCCCGAGGGGGAAAGAGAGGCTGTGGCGGACCGCCTCTCCGCGATTCGGGGCTCCCCAAAGGAGGCGCCCGGAAGCCCCGCCGTCGGGCCCGGCCGGGGCCGCTCCTCTGGTCGCCGGCGCCGCGCCCGGCTTCCCAGCTCCGGCGCGTCCGGCCGAGAGCTGCGGGAAAGAGGACGAGCGCAGCCCGGTGACCGCCGCGCCGCCGAGCACTTACCCATCCATGGCCCAGACGGAGGCGAGCACAGTGCGGGGACTGACGGGCTCACCGCGAGCGGAGGAAGGAGGCGGCGGCAACAGGGCGGCTCCGGGAACCGGCAAGAGGCGCCTCTCCGGAGCCCCGGCCGGTCGGAGGTGGAGAGTGGGAAACAGGGGCGGAGACCAGGGACGCTCCCGCCACCGCCGCGCCCCCGCCTTCCCCACCCCCCCGAGCGCGTCCCCGCCTCGCCTCACCCCGCCCCTCAGCGTCGACGCCCTCCCTGGGCCCCGCCTTCAGCCGCCCTCCGGCTCGGCTCCAGGGCGCCCTCTTCCTGCGGCCGCCCTAGAGACCCCGCCTCCGGGTGCCCCGCCCCGGCGCGCGCGCCCCGCCCCCGCCTGCCTCCAGTGCTCGCGGGAGCGCGCGCCTTGTGCTTCCCGCTTCGCCGCCCCCCGCCCCCGCGGGCTTCGCCGGCCTTCCGGCTCCTCCGCCCCGGGGCTCCCTCGGTTGGACACCTCTCTCTACCAGTGGGAAAAACGGTGGGGACCCGATCCGGATAGTAGGTAGGAGTGTCCCGCGAGCGCCGCAGAGCCGCCGCGAAATTGCCCCGGGTGGGCGAGACTGTCGGCTCGGCCCGAGCCCCGAGGCCAGGCGCCGGCTGTGGTCTTCCCCCGGCCTGGCAGCCCAGGGAAGCGCCCGTCGCCCGCCCGGTGACCCGCACCGGCTCGGTAGGTGAGGTTGGGCTGAAAATGAAAGAGGTGAATGAGACTACCCCGAACTTGAGAATATACAGCTTTAGTCTCCGAGTGCTTTTCATTCAGTCTGGGATTGAATTTATAGGAAACATTCATTGCGCTACATGGAATGGCCACTATATTGGTAGCATTTTATAAAAGTTTCCACATTTTCCTTATTAAAAAAAACCCAGAAAACTATGAAAGAGTGCTTATTCTCGTTTTTCAGATGAAAATTTAGCCATGAGTGATTTGCCGACAGTTTGACACCCACTGAAACCCTTTCCTTTTAGTCTGAGCAAGATTATAAGCATATAACTAGTGGCAACTCGGTTTTTTCCCCTCATAATCTGTTTGGTTCTGAAATTGAATGATTTTTCGATTCACAGATCGCCAAGCCGTGAGCCACTGAACACTGTCCTCCACCAAATTCTTAACTTCCTGGGTAGAAAGGGGACAGCTCCTTCTCAGCCTCATTCGAAAAGCCAGTAACTAGAAGCTCCGTCGTCTATCCTTGCTACTATCTTTTTTTTTTTTTATCCTGCTTTTTAAAAAGTGGGTGCTACTGAAAGGATTTAAACTGTCGATTCACCCATCATTCAGTCAGTATTTGTTGTTTACTATTTGCCAAGCACTGCAGGGCTGACCAAGAAAATCAGGTTCCAGTCTTGACGGTTGCATGCATTCCTCCCTAAGTTTTTTGTTTGTTGGCAAAACACAGTTTTTGAATAGCTCAGGTATCTTATTAAGAAAGATCATTCTTAAAATACTGTATCTAACCTAAATCCCACTCTTAAAAAGGTCAAATATACTTTGTTTCTTATGTTAAATCTAAATATTAAGCTGCAGTTGTAAACATTGCCACCCTACATTGCCAGGTGGGTATTAAAAATACCAAGCAAGATAAGTAGCTGCTGAGGCCTTCCTGTTGTTTGAGGGGTATATTCTGTTGATAAAATTGCCTCAATTTTCGTTAAGCTGTACAAGTAATAATATACATACATGCTCATTTTGGAAAATTCAAAACAATATTAAATATAAAAAGTTATTGTTTTTCTTCACAAGCTACCCCCTGCCCATGATAGCCACTTAACAATTGTGCATGCATACTTCTAAGACCCTCACCATTTTTTGCTTTTTTCACTTAAAAATCCTAGAGATTTTTTTCATGTCAGTACTTTTTGTCTACTTAATTCTTTTTAATACTGCCTATTATTTCATATTTTCATGTGCCATAATTTTATTTAACCTTTTCCAAATTAGTGGAAATTTACATTTTTTCTAATTATTCAAAATAATTAACAGTACTGCAAAGAACATCATATATGTATGAGCATCTTTGCTTGTATATGATTATATCAAGGAATAGATTCCTAGAAGCAGAATTGCAGGACAAAAGGCATAAGCATTCTCACATTTCATAAATATTGACAAAATGATTCCCAAAAGCTGAACCAATTTATACTTTTAAAAGTTGTATTTCTCTTAGCCAATGCCTTATGATAGCTAACAAATTTCAGTATTAAAAAATGAATGTGAGGTCTGTCTCAAACTCACTGACCGTAGTACTAACGATAACTCTGAAAGGTCTCCAGTATTAAAGTGTACCTGACTGAAATGAACAGAACTGTATACATTTCCTAAAACACTCATATCCAGTTTTATAACAGAAGCCTAGATAGTAAGAATACAACTCAGGACAGAACACAAGGTGTAACCCTGCCCTCTCCCCTGCCTCTTGGTCATAAGTTTAAAAGATTTTTCATGAATTGAGCGCCATACGTTTTGTGAGTTTCTCTGATTCAAAAACAATAAATAGAGTGGAATTTAGTTCTTCTATGACCACTTTTAGAATACTAGCTATTCCTATAATCCATATGGCATTAGAAAGCTGTGGCCTTCTATAATATCACCACAAGTTTCTGAGTTATGGAACTATCAGATAATCACTCACGTGACCTGCCTTGGCATAAAGAGCTATATGTTCTGTATACTGGCTTCCTGATGAGGAAGAGGATCTTCATCAATAAACTGTCTTTATTTGCTAATTGCTCTATACTTTTGAAAAGTAAAGACAGTTAAAATAATTTAGTTTAAATTTTCTAACACTTTACCTTCTTTTGTTTTTATTCTAATTTTTATTGTAAGAAATTCCCCTGAAACACCTTCATCTGATGAGACACTCCCTGCTCCCTCCATTATGATGTTTGAACAAAATGTAACCTTTGAACATTTGCCTTAAAACATTGCAATATGCAGTGGTAGTTAACATTTAACCAACATCATTACCCTACTTGGCCTTCCCAGGTGGGGCTAGTGGTAAAGAAAGGGCCTCTCATTACAGGAGACATAAATAAGAGGTGTGGATTCGATGCCTGGGTGGGGAAGATCCCCTGGAGGAGGGCCTGGCAATCCTCTCCAGTACTCTTGCCTGAAGAATCCCATGGACAAGAGCTTAGCAGTCTACGGTCCATGGGGTCACGGAGTCTGACATGACTAAAGCAACTTAGCACACATACACATTACCCTATTCATGTTTATAGGTAAGATTACTGAAGATAGAAAAATAAAAAAATCCCAGTATAAGTCAGAAATAAGACCAGCCGTTCGATGAATCTAGGAGACATTTTAATATCATTTTATTCCCTGACAAATACAGAGTCATAATTGCTAACATATATACAAAAGGAAATCAGTCCTGGGTGTTCATTGAAAGGATTGGATATTGAAGCTGAAACTCCAATATTTTGGCCACCTGATGGGAAGAGCTGACTCATTTGAAAAGACCCTGATGTTGAGAAAGACTGAAGGCAGGAGGAGAAGGGGATGACAGAGGATGAGATGGTTGGATGGCATCACTGGCTCAATGGACATGAGTTTGGGTAAACTCCAGGAGTTGGTGATGGACTGGGAGGCCTGGCGTGCTGTGGTTCATGGGGTCACAAAGAGTCGGACATGACTGAGCAACTGAACTGAACTGATATACTAAAATACAAACATGTGAAATTATACTGAGTGAAATAAAGCTAAACTTAAAAGGCTACAAACTGGATCATTCCATTTATATAACAGTCTCAAAATGACAAAATTACAGAGATAGACAACAGATTAGTGGTTGTCAGGGGTTAGGAAGGGGGAAGGCAGGGTGGTGGTGATGGAAGATACAGAAAGAGAAGGAGATGGGTGTGACTATAAGGGAGTATAGCGGGGGGATGTTTGTGGAGATGGTGCAAGTCTTGATTGTGGGGTTGACTATACAAATCTACACGTGATAAAATTGCGTTGAACTTTAGATACACACAAGTGCATGTAAAACTAGTAAAAGCTGAGATCTATGGATTGTGCTAATGTCAATTTCCTGATTTTGGTACAATTATTAAGATGTTACCATTAGTAGAAACTGGGTGAAGAGTTTCTGGGACCTCTTTGCACTTCTTTTAAAACTTATTGTGAATCTAAAAAAAAAAAAAGACTTGTGAATCTATAATTATTTCAAAAATAAAACAAATTGCAGCGTGTTCCTTTACGTGTTGTTTGTTCATTAGTTATGCAATAACAAACTTAAGAGGCTGAAGGAAAATGTAGAGGTGTGTAATTCATATTTTTCAGGTGCTGTCAACTTGGTAGTCAGACTCGGTTATACTAGCTGACACACACTGAGTCTGACAGACTCTGCCCCATCTGTTGAATGATGAGCCTTCCTTCAAAGTCCCTCCCAACTGTTCAAGGAAGAGACTTGAAAGTGTTTCCAACATACTGACCTCTCTGCCGTCGTGAGTTATGTCCATTTTCCTCAGGCTGTCCCTGGCCCTGATGTAGTCATTTCCATGTGGAGTTCCCAGTAAGACCAGTTCAGAGGACTTGAGCGTTTGCACTGAAGGTGCTTTCTTCAGTCCCTGTCCTGCAGTGACAGTTGCCAGCCC